GCACATTTTGAAGCTAAAATGTGTTCTGGATCGAGGAACCTTGACATCACCAGAGTTCCGTTCAAAACACGTCTGAAATTCGTTCACGTGATCTTTTGAAAGGAAATTGAAAACGCATCACGATTAGGCGATCACGTGAAATTAACGATCATGGAAATGGAACCTAGGCAACGGCTGACGGCTGCTCCCTGCTGCTGAACATGCTGGGTGGGTGGATGCTGCTGAGGGTTGCTGGGAGCCTGGGTTGGCACACTTTGTAACTTAAAAATGTGAGTTTGAAAACCGTTGGTTTTCCTTAGCATGGATCTCCCTTGATCTGCCTTGATGTTTCCAGATCTTGGCGTGAAGCTGCAGAAAATCCCTCGGCATCACCGGGTTTGCGCGTTCTTTCTTTCAGGCAGTCTGTTGCGAGATCGCTGTTGGCAAATTTGCTGCCACGGAAAACCCTGTGATAGGCCTCGGTTTGACATGTTTTAGACAGTTTTTTGCCATAATTACTTACAGTACTTGTATTGGACGGAAAGAACGCCAAATTGCGTAGGTGATTGTGAAGCAAACGGATTCACATGACGTGGACACCTACTGGTTTGATGGCGCATTTATCTTCGCTTTTGCTGGCCGCGGCTTGCCTGAGGAAACAAACGACAAACATCCGTTGTCGTGTTTTCTTGTGTTTCTACGTTCTGGCTGCCAATTTAAAGAGGAAAAGGAACAAACCGTTTGGTTGACTTCTTTCAGGTGCGTTCATGGAAGTAATGTGCTTAAGTTCTTGTTCCACACAAACCTGACAGATGACTCTGCGCATGACAGAGGTGACCCTGTTGCACAAAGCATCTGCAACTGTCCTGGCAGCCTCGCTGTCACCTTTCTTCCCCAAAATTCCGACTTATCTCACATGTTCGGATACCATGACAAGCAAGGCAGAGCATGAAGTTTCATAACTGTCGATCTAAGCATTAGGGGTCCCTCCTATGGCAATGTTGTATTCCCAGAATTGACATGCCTATTATATTTCAAATTTGATTTTTGATCTTCTGTGCCGGTGATCGCATATTTAAAGGAAACATCCTCAGATGCAACCCATGAGAGTAGAGGACTCATCTGCGCACATAAAAGTGGCTCATCTGCGCACAGGATACCAAACTCATCTGCGTACAGGAAACAAGACTCAAGGGGACAGGAAAGAGACTCAAAGCGCACAAGATGGCATGTGTGAGGATCCAACCTTAGGTGTTGAAATTAGGGGAACATGGCGGGAACAGGGGAACATGGAAACATGGGAAGGGAACAGGGGGGAACAGGGGAACGGGAGGTGATAAGAGAAAGCAACCTTTGGGTGTTGAAATTAGGGGAACAGGGGGGGGAACAGCGAACAGGGCGGGGAACAGGGGAACAGATAAGAGAAACCAACCTTTAGGTGTTGAAATTAGCGGAACAGAGGGGGAACAAAGGAACAGGGGAACACCGGGGGTGGCGCAGATGGGGGAAACAGGGGAACTGGGCGGGAACAGAGGGGAACAAGGGAACAGGGAACAGCTTGAGGCTTCTACACACAAGAGAAACTTACACACACAGACGCGCCGTTGTCTCTACATAAATGTTCCACAGAACGTTTTCATGTCCCACCCGCTTCGAACCTGAAAGAAGAAAGGCACTTGCATTCCGCACAAACACGAGCTCGAAGCTAATGCACCCTACACGCATGAAACAAGAAAACACATTAGACCCTGAAGGAACCATAAACCTGAAAACGACTGCTGGATCTTGGCCGCCAGAGGCAATGATGATCCTGATGAAACCTAAGGTATGTTGCTTATGGCAACGATCTTGACAAGGATCGAGATGGTAATCATGAACATAATGGTGTTGATAATCATGATGATATTGATGCCCGGGTGATGTTGGCGGCTGTTATGATCATCACGAACATCCTGATGATTATGCATATTTGCATGATGCTAATGGACATGATGATCATGATGGTCATGACAATGTTGATGAGCATGTTGATGTGGATGGCCACGTTGATGTCGATGACCATGTTGATCATGATGGTGGTTATGATCATGGTTATGTCGATGATGATAAAATTATGATGATGATTCTGGTGATGTTGGTGGTTTCGATGATTATGATGTTGATGACCATTGATGATAATGCTAATGATGACAATGATGTTGATGACCATGTCGGCCATGATGATGTTGATGATCATGATCAGGATGATGATGATGATGATGATGATGATGAGGAGGAGGGGGAGGAGGATGGTGATGACGATGACGATGACGATGACGATGGTGATGTGATGATGATGATGATGTGATGATGATGATGATGATGATGATGATGATCATATCATGATCTTGATGATCTGGATGATCTGGATGATCTGGATGATCTGGATGATCTGGATGATCTGGATGATCTGGATGATCTGGATGATCTGGATGATCTGGATGATCTGGATGATCTGGATGATCTGGATGATCTTGATGATCTTGATGATCTTGATGATCTTGATGATCTTGATGATCTGGATGATCTTGATGATCTTGATGATCTTGATGATCTTGATGATCTTGATGATCTTGATGATCTTGATGATCTTGATGATATTGATGATGATGATGATGATGATGATCATATCATGATCTGGATGATCTGGATGATCTGGATGATCTGGATGATCTGGATGATCTGGATGATCTGGATGATCTGGATGATCTGGATGATCTGGATGATCTGGATGATCTTGATGATCTTGATGATCTTGATGATCTTGATGATCTTGATGATCTGGATGATCTTGATGATCTTGATGATCTTGATGATCTTGATGATCTTGATGATCTTGATGATCTTGATGATCTTGATGATCTTGATGATCTTGATGATGATGATGATGATGATGATGATGATGATGATGATGATGATGATGATGATGATCATATCATGATCTTGATGATCTGGATGATCTTGATGATCTTGATGATCTTGATGATCTTGATGATCTTGATGATCTTGATGATCTTGATGATGATGATGATGATGATGATGATGATGATGATGATGATGATGATGATGATGATCATATCATGATCTTGATGATCTGGATGATCTTGATGATCTTGATGAATGAAGGGCATCCCGTGAACAGGCGAGTCAGGCCATCCCGTGCACCAGCGAGCCAAAATCCCGTGCACACACGAGGCGGTTGCCCACGATTCAGTATTACATTGTCTATCTCCCCTCTGTTTCCGCCTCTTTTTAGATTTCTTCATCAAACCCTGAAGTTGTGGGCGGGGAGGAGAAAAAATGACAAGTCATGATAAGTCGACCTTACATTTTGTGACCGCCCTGTAGCTCTACGTTTGGATCATACCAACGGTTGCGAAAGTTCTATGTTGGAATTCAGGAAACGTAAACAGCGTTTTGTCCCTTCCCAACCCGGCAGGGACGTTTGGGGGCTAAAGCCACCGTCTGTTCCAAGTATTTCCGATTCATCCGGTCAATGGCTGTGAAGCGGTTTCACTCCAAAATGTTGGCGCCTTAGTGACCTTGTTGTTGTTGGCGAAACGGCGAAACCCTCCCAAATTTGAAGACACTGCACCGGAATCCAACCCTCGAAATCCGGTTTCAAGCGTGCCCCAAAGGCCCAAAGGATAAGCTAGTGGCCAGGGAGAATGAATCAACAATTCAGACAATTCTTGCACATTGGGCAACAAGACTGGCACAAAAAATGCAGCTACTTGAAAATGGTTTTTGTCCACAGTTGTAACTAACGCACAATTACTCAATTGCATCTCAATTGCGAAACTTGCTGCATCCTGTCTGTTTCATGGAGATTCCTACTGGTTTTGGCGCGTGTGTTTCACCTCTAAATTCAAGCAAACCTGGAGACATTGCGCGTACTGTAACAGTTGTAACAGTTCTGTAAGTGTCATTTTGTAGTGGGACAAGCAAGACGCCAAATGATGCCAAATGTACCTGCAAAATTGTACCAGGTGGGTTCATGCATGCTTTGCGGCGCTAAGGGGCGGATGGAAGCACGATTGGTTCCAGTTCGCGAGGGTCGGGTTCGACATTGTTGTTTTGATGCCCTTACTGCTATTTCCCTGCAATTTCAGTTATTCCTTTTGCGCTTAGCCGGACGGTGCACCATGCATTCTGGTTGCATTACCAGTTGCCTTGCAAGTACAGTACAGCAATTCCTGCCGAGAAATGTGGAAAGGACAAGTGCGAGGCTCGTCTCATTTTCACAAACAACCGCACTTCGATCATCCGATGATCGCATCAAGTTTTGGTCACCTGCAAAAATCCTGCACGACCTACAGACACCTTTCTTCGGGAACCTCCCTTCACCAAAGACTTAGAAACATTTAAACATGCTGACAATCAGTCATGACCATTTGGTTCCAAGTTTCAAGTTTCCTCGGACTTTAGATTGCACGACTTCTAGTATGCCCAATGGCATACAGGCATAAGAGGTTTGTCTATATGACAACAACAGTAAAACAAGAACACATCAAGATTTAAATTCAGCAATCATATCTCGACTGCATCCAAGACCCAGGCAAGAGACCCTGCAGCACGAATCAGCATCTTTTAGCTCTGACTGCTAGCACAAATCAGCTGGACACCCACTGGGGTGTACTCCGACGGGCTAGCCAAGCGAATTCGTTGCTGTCAACCTCTTGCCATCTGACGCATGCTGGTGGCGATGGTGCCAATGAAGCAGGGAAAAAGTGATGCGAGCAGCTCGCATACCTCTGAATTCTGTGTTTCTTCAAATTCTGATCTTTGATGGCACCGCCACAACTGCCACACAGCATGCACCACCTTGCAACAAAATGAACTGGAAACAGTCTGGGTTACCATTGCTTTGTTATGCTTTGTTGGAGCGCCTCTTCAATAAACTCCCAACATAAATTGCAAAAAATGTCCCTGGTGATGGCATTAGCATGTCCAAATTCGTTGGCTTGCCGCTGCAGACCCGCTTACACCACCGTCACCTGCCTGGGCGACCTGTGTGAGCCTTTCCTCAACTTCTGCCGTGGAGGCATGACGAAGCCGACTCGTTTCCGAGGCAAGTCGTAGACGGAAACGTACTTCCGCAGCACTGGTTGACCCAAGACCCACATCTCTGGCTTATGAGTCAACTCCATGGAAGACAAGTGAATGTCACAGTCAGATCCATCGGATTCCGCGTAGTCGGATGGATCCAAGACCAAGGTCAGGATCCTGATTCAAGCGGTGCATAGCGGTGCGGGATTTGTGTGATATTCAGAGTGACTGAGAACTGTACCTGTTTTATCCTATTTTTTTTAGAAGTCTCCCAAATGATGGGTTCTGCTGATCTACAATGATCTACCTATTATTTTGAGAAGCAACGCCTTCCGAACAATTTCTGCATGCTGCTAGCCCTTCAGTCCTTTCCACACCGCGTAGCCGGATCTCGATCTTGGGCAAGGCCGAGAGTTTACACTCCTGGCAAAAACAGATCTTCTGGTAGGTCTGGTAGGTTGCAAGATGAAGCTGATTTGCTCACGAGTTCAAAGGAAATGGACCAAGCCTCTCTGTTGGAATAATTTAGAAACAAAACGGACAAATAAGAATCAAAGTTTGAGAACTTGGCAAAAGAAAATGATATATAAATTATTATATAATCATATATTATAATTTCTGTCCCTGGGGATGCACTCCCTTTCTGAAATTTGTGAACGGTCAAAACCGACCTCTCCAGCAATGATGTGACGACATCACATTCCAATCTCCCCCAATTAGTTCCAATGAAGCTCTGACTATACTCAACACTCACGCAGGCAAAGCATGGGAGTTTTGTTGTCCATTGCCATTTACTGAAAGGTCTCTAAAGTCACTGTCGTCCCAAGCCGATGTCTCCTTTTGATGCGTGTCCAAGATGTCCAACAACGGGTCCACAACATCCTGGAGTCAACCCCTGGGAAACTGGAAGTATTAACGCGTTTGATGCTTGGTTGAACCAGCCCATATAAACCATCATCCAACATCATCCGACGCAAATATGTTTTATCGCTTCCAAAAACCATCCACCAATTTATAGTTTTCTCATGTTTTCTTCCAAAAATATGGTACAGTATGGTACAGTAATGTACAGTCGCCCTTCTTAGAATATCTCATCTTCCATTGAAAATTCCCGATGGAAAATTGCCATGATGGCCATGGTGGATTCCGATGGATTCCGGTGCATCCTGTGGTCCCATGAGATCACCGGAGCCAGTGTCCTTGGTCCACCAACAAACGAGGACTGGTGACATCTCTCAGTGACTCAGAAAATTCACCTTCCTACTGTTTATAGTGGATTTACCCATTAAAAATGGTGATGTTCCATAGTTATGTTAGTCTACCAGTCTGTTTGATGATGTTGATGATTGTTGATGGAACCAGTTGATGATGTTGAGGGAAACATCATCAACTTCCTACCTGACACCAGATGGCGCTCGTGTGATCTTGTGTGTATCATGTCAGCACCGCTGTCCCCACGTGTAATGCAAATGTTGGATTCCGGTATGTCTGACAGTCTTTGAATCCTTGAATCCTTACGCAAGCAAGTCTTGCAACACTGATTCCGGCATTAGCTTTCTAGGACCTGAACCCAACACACAAGGACAACAAAAGGAAGCAACAAGCAATCTGAATCGTGCTCATCATGCTCTACATGGAGAAGATGGGATATGATATGTGTGTGACTGTCCTGTTGCCTTTGGGGTGACTGTTTGGACTACTTGAGAGCCAGCATGCAATTTTGTCATGCTCTCCCCCCACATGTGGCATTGGAAAATCCCACTCAGAGGCCCTGCTACAGCAGCACTGCAAGCGTTCGGTGAACCATCACCTAAAGTCGGCAGATGGCCAGGGTGGAGGTCGATAGATCGACTTGGCGACTCCTTCAACATCTTCAACATCTTCAACTGGCTGAGCTACCGACACGTCTGAACCAGGTGCCCTCCCACTGACCTAACGAGGTTTTGAGACACCACTGGATGTAGATCGGCTTCAACTGGGAATCCCATCTCGGCCTGTGACCTTGTCCCTGCCATGCTGCTACCATGCAGGGAATCAGCCCAGGTTTTGGCACATTACCAATGTGTCAATGACACTCAATACACGCATTGCTCCGGAGTTGTCTCTCTATAACATCATGATTACATCATGAATATCATTAAGCTGCACTCTTTTCTGATGGAAGCTGGTGGGGAATTGGCAGATGTCTCTTGCATTCTGCGTTTGTACATTTCAACGACTCAACAATCAGCTGGTATGGTTATGGCACATTATGGCATGCTAGGGTTGTCTGATGTTTGTCTGGCGAGTCGTGGTGACTCCACATGCTGCCAATTGTCGGGTGCTGACCTGTTCTCCGAACAAGGCGTTGAAACTTGTTGAGATACCCGGAGATGGGCAGGATCGGTAGGACTGTGACCCTCTACAGGAAGTTGACATGTAGAAATTATGACCAAATTATGACCTCCTTTCGTTGGTGAATTTCTTAGGGAAAAACATGGAAAAACGATGTATGCTGATTACAAGCGCAATCTCCGTGTTAGAGCGGCAATGGAACGTATTTGCCTCTTGCCGAGCGAATTCACATCTGGCTTCGTGGCCAAGACCTAAAGCATCATCATGGAAAAGGGACGGAAAGATGCCAAATTCTTGGTGGCTTTGCCAGACGCACTCCATAGACTCCAGTGCGCTTATTGCACTTGGAAATTATGGTACAAAATCAGACCCAGGTGGTCAAACTGTAGAAGAGTCTAGAGCATGCTGGGTATCATACCAAGATGATCAAGTTGATCAAGCAAATCTTCCAAAGCCACAGCTATGGCCAAGCACTTGGCTCTAAGGGCTCGAGCGGCCCCATTACGTGCAATACATTAGGCCTCTTGTGCTGCCAAAACTTTGCCCAAAACCAGGCTGGCAACACCAAAAAGCTCAGCCAGGCAGTTGTCATTAGCATTTCCGGAAGTAGCCGGCAAGTGACGTCAGGATTCTATGGAACATCTCTTCAATTGCTGAAGCTGTTCGCAAACCAAGAGCAACTCCAAGGTATTTGGAGGAGGAAGGCGGTTCCAAATTTTCATTTAATGATATTTAATGAATACTCACCTGTGGGTCTTGTGAATTTTTGTTGGACCTCCTAAATCTGCCATTTCATATCCTTCCATGGTCCACGAATCGCCGCTTTGAGACCAAGCAGCTCAGCAACCTTTACCCCTCGGCGTCACTCGTCCCCTGGTGCTTTCGCAAAAGTTCCACCAACTCAGAAGCACCTTACGAGGGAGATGGGATTGGTATACCTATAGGATCCATGGTGCTGGTATATATGCTAACATTGGGGGTATATTGATGGTAAATGTTACCATATATAACATACATGGATCCTATGGGATAGAAGTCAATGGAAACTCAATGAACACCTTGGTTGAGTCATGTTGAGTCACTGGCAATAGTTGATGCTTACGCAAAATGACAAATACATTTATTTCGCAAATCGAATTTCATGTTGCCTTTCAAACTGCACGTCCATCTGGTTCCATCTGGTTCCATCTGGTCAAATGTAAGCCACACGATTCCACCATTCGTTAGTCGCTGTCGCGATGGTGTCTCCTGAGTTTCCCAACCAAAGCCCAGTTGAGAGGAGAAATCCTGGCAGTGGTTCCCACTGAAACACCAGCTGGTTGGGGGCGTCTCCAGCAACTGAAGGTGAATTTGAAAGTATGTTGTGTATATATATATATATGTGTATGGATGTATATGGGACAAGGGATGACAAGGGTTTTTTTTGGTTTCAACTTAAATTGGACTGGCACGAAAATCAAATAATAACGGTTAAATCATGATAACAATCACTTGATCATGTACAATCACCACCACCACCATCATCCAGCCTCGTCCAGAGCATCGCAGACCAAGACGTCCTTTGAGGTTTCGGCATCCAACACCTGCACCAGGGGCCCCATGGGGCGGAAATCATACGTAGGTGACCTAGGTGTGTTTGATAATGAATGAAAATGGAACCTACCGTATGCTATCATATACCACATTGTAATTATATGTATATTATAATATATAATATTATATATATTATATATATAATATTATATATATAATATTATATATAATATTATATATATATATAATATTATATATATAATATTATATTATATACACCCATGTTTGGCAATATAGGCGATAATGATGCTCATGAAATTTGGGAGTACCCTGTTCCCAAACGACTCCACATGGCAGTGGACAGGTTTACTATTTATAGATGACGTTCCTATTGAAAGTTCGGAGAAGGAATTGAAATCCCTTACCTTTCATGGGTAATCATTTACAATCATTTACAGATGGAAATTCGTCCATGGACATTTTTGAATACGATTATCCCCTTCTAAAATCATCTAAAATCTGAATCAGTTGCGATCCGAATCATGTCTAAAATCAGCGGAGGCCGGAGGCCACTGTTTACTGCGCCTTGTGAACCAAGGGCCAAACCATGCGGCTGAAGACAGCCGGCGCGTTCAGAACAACAGCCTTGTAAGCAAACATGTGCATTGAGAACTCGGTGCGTTGAGCACATGACAAAGACTCCAATCTCACTCGTGCGCATGCTGAAACAAACAGAATGTGTAGCGTGGCTGCAAATTCTGAGCATAAGTTGCTGCATAACTTGCTGCATAACTTGCTGCATAACGTGTATCGAATGTATCGCAACAGGTGGAATTGGGGTCGCCTACATGTGCTGATATTTGTCCCAACAAACGTGGTACCTTCCGAAGATTGCTGGGGTAGTGCTTTTCCGCCAACCCGAGAACCTGCACGCTTGACAGGCCACATCCACAACCGCATGGTGCCCTAAGATCCACTGGTTTCATCAGCATGTTCCCCATTGAAATCATACCAAAGGACCAATTTGGGTTGGTCCAAAAATAGGAAAAAAAACACATCAGAAATCCCCAGAAGTGGTCACTTTAATGGAAAAACAGATGTGAAAAATGATGATAAACCATGGATAAACCATGGATAAACCATGGATAAACCATGGATAAACCATGGATAAACCATGGGGAAAGTTGGGAACAACAGGGGACTCCTGCCTTGATCAGGCTGTGGAGCCCAGAGAGGCAGGACCTGGGTCCAGCCCAATGGGCTGGATGCTTCGATGGGTTTCGGCTGTCGTTTTTGTTTACCGTTTACATCAAATTCGGAGGCTCCCCAGTTTCTCAGAAATTACCCTCTGGTAAACTAACATAACTATGGAAAATCACCATTTTCAATGGGAAAATCCACTATAAATGGTGATTTTCAATAGCTATGTTAAATTACCAGAGGGTAAATTAAATAGTGACTCTGATAGTAAATGATGTAAATGTATCTACGAGATGTTCAGAGTCAACCAGCCAAGAAACGTCAACTGCGACAAGTGAAGCTCTTTGAGATCATAGATCACCACAGTCCCAGGCATGTCATGGGGATCAATGCTACCTGGGCACACCATCGCAGCATGCGATTGATGTTCTGCTTATTCTGCTTCTATGCGGGGCTTGAACAGTGGACATGGTGGTCTCATGTGGAATCCGAGCATATCCGATGGTCGGACTTGATGCCACCCAGATGGAGCCAAGAGATTCTCCACCAGCACCCCTGACAGCCAGTGACCCCAGCCTGATGCTTTCCCAAGACCTTGTCGTTGCTGCTGATTGCTGCGTTCCATCCAAACCATCCAGAAGAGTCGGAGCTCTTCCTGCCATGCAAAAGACCCAGCCCAACCTGCGCAACCTGGCCCAGCCTCCTTGCCCCTTTTGACCCTTTTGGTATGACTGAGATTGAAGATTTGGAAATATCATGACGTCTCTAAAAGCCACATGGCGGGGAAACTTGGGGAGGTTCATTTCAGTAGGTTCCTCTTACCATTTGGTGGAAAATCTAGTCCTGACATTCAAAGTTAAAGGAAAGGAAGTGGAACTCGAAAGCAGCAGACCACCAGGCCCTTTGCTACATCTGGTGGCCACGGTTAAATCGAATTAAATCCCATAAAATCACCATTTAAGCCGTGTTTTTTTGGAAGTGTGCAAAACAGAACTTCGCGGAGAGGCTACGCAAGCCTACGCGGACTGCACAAGTAGGCTATGCGGAGCATGGTTCCAAGAGTTCCATTGAGGTATACCTACGCGGAGGCTACGCCGTGACCCGAAGGCTACGCGAAGGCTATGCCGACCACACTTTTGCATACGCGGAAGCGCAGGTGTCCCAAAAAGCGCAGCTCATTTTTGCTAGTTACCATCCGGTTATTTAACATAGCCATGAAAAATCACCATTTTTAATGCGTAAACCATCTATAAATGAGCCATTTTCCAGATGTTTCTGCTGGTCCCTGGTCCAATGGCTTTCAACCTGCCTCCTGGACACCCAGTTGAAGAAAGCGCACAGCCTCCGTGCATGGTCGATGACGGTCGATGCGAAAAGCAAGAAAGCGGGAAGCCTGTAGAAATATGGGTATAGTAATATTTATATTATATACATAGTATATAAATTGTAGTATATAAATTGTAGTACATAAATTATAGTATCAAAATTATATTATACAAATTATAGTATAGAAATCATAGTATATAAATTATAGTATATAAATTATAGTATATAAATTGTAGTACATAAATTATAGTATCAAAATTATATTATACAAATTATAGTATATAAATCATAGTATATAAATTATAGTATACAAATTATAGTATATAAATTGTAGTATATAAATTGTAGTAAATAAATTGTAGTATAAATTATAGTGTATAAATTATAGTATATAAATCATAGTATCAAAATTATATTCTACAAATTATAGTATATAAATTATAGTATATAAATTATAGTATATTAATTGTAGTATCTAAATTGTAGTGTATAAATTATAGTATATAAATGATAGTATATAAATTATAGTATTAAAAATATATTATACAAATGATAGTATATATATAAATTATAGTATATAAATTATAATATATAAATTATAATATATAAATTGTAGTATATAAAGTATAGTGTATAGTATATAGATGATAGTATATAAATTATAGTATCAAAATTATATTATACAAATCATTGTATATAAATTATAGCATATAAATTATTGTATATAAATTATATAGTATACAAAATAATAGTATGTAAATTATAGTATATAAATGATAGTGTGTAATTTATAGTGTATGTATATATATTATAGTATATAAATTATAGTATATAAATTATAGTTTATAAATATAGTATAGTATATAAATATAGACATAGATGTTGATATATGATATGTATACATATATATATATATAGATAGATACGTATATAACTATATATACATTGTATTTACACTTAAAGACACTTTCATTGCCAACCAACACTGGGATGGTATCTCAAGATATCTCTTCCACTGTCCCGTTTTTCTTGGTTACATCCCCACTGGTCACGAGTTCTATAGTTTGTGCGGTAGCCTGATTTGGGGCACATTAAATGCCATCAGCACACCCAGCGATTCCCGCCTTTCCAACATCGAAGAAGGAAACCGGACTGCCGTCGCTGGTAGTGCCAATCCAAACCTGCGTACTGTGCATGTTTGGCCGACAAATGATAAATCCGATTAAATCCGTCAAATTTTGACAACACAAACTATCTGATTGGTGTTTTCAACCCTGTTCAATTGGGATTGCCTTTTTCAGCATCATGATCATCATCAGCAGCAGCATCATCACCAGCATCCCAGGTACAAGTAGGATGGAAAATAGATGTATATGTATGTCATGTCATTCACGTACTTCATGGCATGTGTATAAATGTGAAACCACCTATCAGCTGCACCTCCGGCCACGCATCCTTCAGCTTCTCAAAAACCTAAACCCCAGTGCGAGCAGCAGATCCAAGGAGGGAACGTCCAAGGAAAATGGGTTTAGCCAACAAAAATGGTGGTAGAATGAGGATAGCATGGGAACAATATGATATAATGGCATAAATGGTGATTCTTGCACAACTAGGAAACGGATGGAAACGGATCCAAGATGATGAATTTTCAGTAGGTTTCGTAGCATCCATGAGTTTTCCACAACGTCTCTGGGGGCTGAGAGTCCCACCTCTTTTGGCTTCTCCGTGCACAGCAACTGGTCAACACCTGCGGGGGGGGCTGATGCCTCGCAATTAAAGTTTGCCATGAGACGAGGATGGATCAAACAAAATCTGGACCTACAGCTTCGTCATTCAAGAACTGCCTTTGAACGATGCCTCTACTGAGGCCAGGAAGTCCACACATCATCCACAACAACATCTAAAAGATCCATCCAAAACGATTCAAACATTCAAACATCATTCAAAATCTATAATCCAATATCATCCAGAATCCATCCCAAAACCATCCAAGTTCAGTATCCCAAAACCCTCCTCTCGGTCCCCTGGGTCCCCTTCGAGCACCTAAGCGTTGACGAAAGCGCACCGTGGCGCGGAGCTTGGCTTCGGCTGCTTTCGTGTCGTTGTTGCAGGACCTGACACTGGGTATCACTGGGCCCAGTTTGATGCAACAACCGGGCCATACCGGGCCTCAGGAATCTCCAGTAGCATGTAGGATATCCACCTGACTGGCAGAATTTTCGATAGGCCCAGAAATATGTTGCTTGTGAGGATGAAGAAATATGTTGCGCTAGATGTTGCGCTACCCAAGGTCTGCTGCAAATGCTCGGCAAGTGGGATCAAAACCGGTGGGCACTGGGGATTGGGAGCATTCCCTCTACTTCCTTGTCTGTTTTGTCAATCAAATTGAAGTACAATGACTGCTGTTGGTGCTTTCAAACAAAGAGCGTAGTTCCCTCGTCACTGCAGATAGGTACCTGGGGTGTGGCATGCTTTGACTCTCTGATTGCTCTACAGGTGATGTATCTTAGGTGAAGAAGCTGCGCTCTTAGCAGCACCGCACGCATTGTTCCTCAAAACCAGCCAGAGTTGGGGCTCCGCACCCAGCTTCTCGATACTGCCTGCTCAGGAAGTCATTGTGATGCTGCATGTGATGCATGATGATCCACATGTTGATGCTGGCTCTTGACAGGTAGCTTGGTATTTGCTACATCAATATCATCAATGGAAAAGCCAATGGATGTACATCATAAATATCATCAATATATCCATGAATATCATCAATCTTCATCAATATCATCAATATTCATCAATATCAATCAACCAATGGATATTTTGTTCCATTGATGTACCAAAAAATATGGTATTTGCTGGGTTTGGCTATCATCAATGGAAAAAATGCCCCAGCCAAACCCAGCAAACTCTCCTCTCGCCTGATCCCGCCGGGTCCATCACAACATCTGGAGGCAGGGGAAGCTGTTGGGGGCAACAACGCCCCTTATCCACCCGGGATACCCATGACTAACCTACCATTGCACCGGAAAATCCTCAGTTTGTAGATCCTATTCCGAAGCGAAAGATTTCCGGCCGCCACCCCCCGAATTGTGATTTTGAGACTTCACAGACTTCACAGACTCAGGGCGCAGGTGTAAACGTTCCATAACTTTCCTGGGAACTTCGCAGGGAGGTGTTACAAACTTCTTGGGGAAATACCCACAAATTCATTCGGAGAACTTCCGGTGGAATTGGTCTCTAACTTCTCACAAAAAGCTGTTTTGGGGGTTAACTTGGGGAACCCCGGTTACGTGTCTTGCAATTTTTTCTTCAGCTGAACCTTCAAGCCGCCGGTGAAGCTCTTGCACGCGTTCATCCACATCTCGCGGCACCTCGGCCGCAAAGCGCGAGAAGGGGATGGTGGAGATGGGAGAACAGAAAGCCATCACCAACAGTAGTCATAGTTGATCTATTCCAATGGGTTGTTGGTTTGGAATCTGAACATTCTGACCCGGACACACAAATCAAAGGATTCAACATATTGAATCTCAAGAAGTTCCAGAGGTGGCTAAAAGCACATTGAGTGGGTTTGAAGGAAGAGCTTTGGCAGAAAAACATCCACGTCTCATTTCAGGCGGCTCAGCCCAACAATTAACCCCCACCTTCAAAGACAAAAAAACTGGGAAACGATGCAAAAAGTCTCCATCAACCAACAAGTCTTTCTGATGACACAGTCGACACAGTAGGTACCAAATTTCCTGAGGAAAGGACGACTCGAAAGGTGGACATCTGTGACATCTCCTTCTCCGCATCAACCTGAACGTCAAACATCAAGGTGTGGAACATCTGGAGAAATGGGCACAAAGATGAAGCCATACATCATATCGATCATATTGGCAATAGAGTATCAAAGCCAAGGCACAATTGAGAATATTGAGAGTTGTGCTATCTGAAATCTTATTTACAGTACGGTAATTGTATATCTGGTTGGTGGTTTTAACCATCTTGAAAAATATTAGTCAATGGGAAGGATTATCCCATATATTATGGAAAATAAAAAATGTTCCAAACCACCAACCAGATATACTGACTGAAAAAAAGAAGTCTCGTTCATTGCTGGCAGCCCATGGGTACCATGCCATTGGTTCCTGAGGACATCAGCATTGTGAAGCGACGGATGTTGCGATGTTCCGTCCTATTCAACCTATTCTTGCAGCCATTTCAAAAGTTTGGGATGCTGGATCCCAAAACAACAGGAGATCACTGAGATCACCAAACACAGTATTTGTTTACTACAAAGACTTTGCTGACCCCTTTGGAATATCCCAAAAAAAAACAAGCGCGCACCTCGACATCAGTGGAATCCGAGCTGACCTGGGGAAGCGGTCATTTTTTTGGGGGGAGTCATGATATGGGGGACCCCGAAATGGGAAAATGGGATGGTTTAGGTTTTCTAAAAAAGTTACAAAAAGAAATCTATGGTCCCGGCTGGTCTTTAATTTTGATCCCTGCCATGCCCGTTGAGTTTGAGGATTTATTGACTAGGTTGGAGAGTTACGAAGAAAAGCCCGTTTAGTAAGCCGTGACATGTCACCCCGGACACTTCTACTGATTGGCCGTAAGCACATGCCCTTCGTTCTACCTGCAAGAACTTGAACGGCTAAAACCAAAACAGCGCAAAATAATATAATATAACATAATATAATATAATATAATATAATATAATATACATATATAATTATATATATACACATAACATCTGCTCACCATAATTACCTTTCATCCAAATGAAAACAGAACCACCACAAGGCATAAGCTGACATGCAGGTTTGCATCCCAAGAAACATCATTGACCTCCCTGCAAGGCAAACAAGATGAAGTTCTCCCGTTCCACACATACTTTAGAGCCCCAAGCCTCATGTAATTCTCATTGCATCAGCATGTGGTTAAAGTGTCCATCATGGGTTGCTGATCCTTATCAGGGTTCGACCCTCACAAATGATTCCTAGTCGTGGTTTGTTTGTCACAAAGAAATACCCATGTGTCATCGCCCCAGCAGTTGGAAAATATGACCTCTTGCCACCATTTTGGATCAATGCAGAAGAAACCCCAAATCTTACTAAAAAATGCCATATCATCATATCGGCCATGTCTGCTTCTTTTCCCAATCCTTGCCATCGATAAAATATTCCAGTGCGATTGTCTCTGGAGAATTCATGAGAATTCAGAATCACGCCACACTTGCTTTTCACTTTCTCAAAGCCTTCAGTTGTACATTCGGTCAAATAAAGCCGTTGCGCATATACTTCTCATGTGGCAGTGTATCAAAACCTTGTACCCCTGGTGAACATCAAAATAGCTGGTAAATGGATGTTCATCCCCCTAAAAATGGTATTAATAGGTATTGATCCATACCCATGTATCCTCTTTATGAGATCTGTATCTGATCCATCTGCAAATTTTGAATATCAAGCAAGTCGTTGAACCCCCAAATCACATGATTAAATCATCATGTTCCCCGTTCCTTCATCGACTATGCTCCATTTTCTGGTTTATTGATGGAAGCGATTGTAAAATATCTCCATTGTGCTAGGATGTGCTAGGTTTCCCCATATTATAGCTCCCGTTTCTCCGAACATGGTCTTACAAAGAGAAAAACATACTGTAATCAAACCATTCACAACTAATTATGATGAAACTCATCCCCGAATGGTAGATTCATTATATTCATTACATTTCATTACTGGGTTTTTACCATGGTTTTCCACATGTTTTCCACATGTTTTCCACATGTTTTCCATGTGTTTCACCCCATTTCTTCCCAGCGTACCTCCGAGGGCTCCTCGGTCTTGGCCTCGGCCTCGACCCGGGGCGCCTTTCCCTTGTCGACAAACTCATCGCAGGAGAACCAGATCGAATCCTGCGAAGATTGCTGGAGAAAGGATGAAAAAATGTGGAAAAAATGTGGTGAAAAAATGTGGTGAAAAAATGTGGAATGGGGTGACAACATGAGTTTCTGGATGCTGTGATTGTAAACCATCAAAAAGGGGGGAGGATGGGAAGGGAGATAGCACCTGTCTCCAAAACGGTGGATTTGTTATTTCCGTCATGCCCAAAATGGCCAAAAAAATCCGACAGGACCTGGAGCTCAAAAGTAAACAACACAGGCACTTGGTAGGTATTTGCCCAAATAATTAGTATGGAAAATTGGTATTTCAGAATATTTCGGAGACTTTCATTGAATAGAGGTCTTAAAAAGGAACAGAAACTGCGGGTTGAGAGAGGTACTTAATTTCCATCGATGTGCAGACAGTGATCACCCCGTCCTGGCGCGGTGGTCGCTCCGACGCTTTGTAGTCAGAATGCTCCTGGACCGGGGGACCTGGGAAAGGTCAATGTCCTGCTGCAATGGAGCGATTTAACCACAGTTTGTACATGGTTTGATGTTTGGACATTCTTGCCTCAAGAGCTGTTGCTTAGGCGCCAGGAAAGTTCTGATATGGTCGGGTAACGGGTAATTTCTCAAGAATGTTGGCATCGGTCAAAAGCCCCGTTTCATTCCCATGTCAAAATATGTTGCCAGAATACTATATCAAATTTGATTGGATTGCAATTTCCCCCGCCAACAAAATTATGTGTGGGTCGTTCATTTTCTACAGCCCCAGCAGCGTTTTTGCGTTTTGCACTCCCCGAAAAATCCCGAAAACAGCCCGGTGTCCGGCACGGCCGGCACGGCTGGCACGGCAAACTCCAGGTGTTCGGCCACATCGCTGGTATTGCCGCAGGCCAGGACCAAATCTTCTCCCAACAGGCTGCAGGTGAAGATCAGCGACATGGCCGGGAAACGTTGCGGATGTCTGGTGAGAATTTCTGGTGGTTTTTGGGCTGGAAATATATGGCACTAAAAGGGCGCTACCTGTTGAGGAGTTCGAGTTGATATAAAAAAAGCTGCGTGATGATGTGGTTTCTGATGATGGGCTATAGTCTGATATCTAAAGCTAATTTGCTATGAGTCTGCAACATCTTCGGGGATGGATTAGTAGTCTTTCACAGGGCTAATCATGGAAAATGCAAGGACATTTCAACTGTGAACGTTTCATGATAAGATTCAGCCACTCAGCTTGGTACTACAGCCCTACGTATTTATTTCAGCCCGAGCTGCAGCCACGGCAAGTACCCGCAAACAAGCTGGTCCATCCTCTCAAACCTCCCTGAAACCAAACTTCACTGCGAGCGAAGCTCGACTTCAACATGTCAAGCTGCAGGGTTAGCTTGAGTCGAAAAAACATCGCAACAATCATCAACAATCCATCCAAAAATCCATCCAAAACCGATCCAAAACCCCACTAATTATCGACGGCTCTCGAAACAACTCTGGAATCGTAGTCCCAGTCACATGGACAGGACCTCCAACAGCCAGTAGCCCTCCTCCTGACGCCAGAGGCATGGAGTAGGCCCCAGTGATATCCAGTGGTAAACATCACCAGTTTCCCATCGTTTCCCATAGTTTCCCTGCTTAAAATAGGCTTAAAATGGTTTTGGGCTACTGGATGGCACTGGTCCAACATGCTCCAATCCCTCCTCCGCTTCGGGCATGAGCGGTGCCCACATCAGCCTGGATTCAATATATTTAATCAATGCGATGTTTGATGCTGTGATATGCTGTGTGAGTCATCTATTTCTTGAGTTGCATTTTAAGTGTTGAGTTTTGGGGGGAAAATTAGATTCCCTGCGAAATAACAGGTTGGCACTGCTTGTCCAAAGTGCAGGCAGATGAACATCAATGTCGCCCAAGCTTACTGGTTCTTTGCTGGTAAAATTGTTATAGAACAAATTTCAACTAAATCCGTGAAGTCAGGATGTCCTCACTTCCCGACCATAAAGTGGAGATGTTCTGAGATGTTCGTGATTCTCCCAAAATTCAGCTGTTATCTATGCCTTTCAGACCTGGAGCTAAAAAAATATCGGCCGTCCCCTGGCGAACAGCGTACCCTTCCGTCGCCCAAGGTGGTAGATCCTGCAAATCGCCAAAGGCAGCCTGGTGCAGGTTGAAGGATCAGATTCGATGAGCGTTGCTCTGTCTGCAACCAACGGAAGAAAGCCATGTATTTTTTCACAGTCTAAGATGTCTATCTATTTCTTGTCATGTTGTCATGTCTTCTTGAAAACTGCCCCCCCCCCCCCGTCTTTCACCTACAGGCAACAACTCTGCCTGTCCGGCAAAAGAGCAGCTGGGGGTTCCCAATTTGAAGGCAAAAGCACCTGGGATGCTGAAGGGCTGTGATGCCCGCGTTCATCTGCTTGGAAGCCCTGTGATTAAATTGCTGGTAGCAGATTCTTTGTGAAAGTTGGTATGTTGTGGACTGAGTGCGAGAACGAGAAGGATGATGAGGATGATGAGATTGCTGAGGATGCTGAGGAGGACAAGGATGATGAGGATGATGAGGATGAGGATGAGGAGGATGCGGATGATAATGTTGATCATCATTACTATCACAATACATTGTCACGATGAAATGTTTTTAGACCTACAATACCACTGCCAAAATTGAATCCCTGCACGCGCCATGGGATTTCGAACCATTGGACACTCAAGTCTCGGGCATTGCACCAGGCAAGGCTCTGCAGTGTTCAACCCAACTTACCCAATTTTTGAAATCAGTTCACTTGCAGCCGGGGCGAACCTTATTATAATCGTTGCAGCAAAATCTGGACACTGGCAGGGATACTATGGGATGCTTAGACACTCTGTCAGACATTCCAGTGAGTCAATAGATTGTCATGCTCCTCATCAACTTGTGCTGTGGGTGAGGTCCAACTCCTAAGGGTCCTAAGGGCAGAGGGCATGATCGTGGTGCCATCTATGATGGCCCAATGGCCCATGCCCTTTGGTGAGGCCAATGCGGCCAATGAACACAGGGGCCCGATCGATCCAAGGCGCTTATGCCGTGCTGCTGCAGCGACCTGATAGGACCTGATGCCGGTTGGGGTGCATCCGATTGCCAACTCTTCACATGGGTCGCAAACTTCTTGTTGAGCCGCAGAAGCATCAGAACCCCTTCATTTTGCCATATGAATCAACAGCTGCTACCTACACCCAGACCGGACGCGCATCCTCTGAGGCTTCAGCCGTCATGGCTGGGACCCAAACCTGGTGGGTCGAAGACTAATTTCGGCAGCCAATTGCGTTGATGCTTTGAAGATCTTTGAAATGCCAATTTTTGGTAGGTCAATCTCCACGCAAGTGCAGATTGACCCATCAGCTTGGTATGAGGCAGATTCCAGTCCCATTTTTTTCGCCACTTGGCTCACTACGACCAGGCGCCAACGCAGCATGCAGCTGCCAAATGGCTTCAATGAAATCACCGACCACCACGACCAGGAGGTGGGATGAAGAGATCCAGGATCGGCTCCTAAACAGGGACACCATTAAAATAATACTATTAAATATATATATATATTATATATAGAGAAAACATATCTGCCAAAACTGTCAAACTGATTTCACAAAGTATCTCAGAATTCACAACAGCTTGATGTTTCTACCTTCCCCTTTGAAATCAAAAATTGAATTCAGAAACAAAGAAACATACTGCTCCAAAACATGTGTGTTATGTAAATCCGTGTGATAAAACATGAAAAAAACAACAAATATATCAAAATATGAGAAAACCAAACGTGGAGTGTGCATTGCGTGTTGTCCTGCGCTCCACCACTGAGCGCTTGCACATTGTGGGCCACTGCTGGATGCGTAGCGTTCAATCGCAAGGCTTCCCTCAAGGCCTGTGAGGCCTGCTCAGGAGCCTTTCAGGTTGTAGCAGGTGGGAATGTCCAGGTGCAGGTGGGAATGTTCCTCCTCCCGCATATGGTTTCATATGGTTTCATATGGTTTCATAATGTTTCATAAGTCTTGAGTCAATGAGATCCATTATATGGGGGTTGTCCTAAATTACTGTTCCCACAAAGGCCTCTTGGGCCGAGCTTGCGCCAACCTTGCGCGTTTCTTGCGCGACCACACTCCCGGATCACTTTCATCATTTCAGTTGCCTTTCATCATTATTCTCGTACTTGTTTTTGAATGTTAAATATTCAGTATTCACTTAGTATTTCGTACTGGGAAGTAGTTTGTGCAAGCTTTGTAGTACACAGTAGTACTGGGAAGTAGTTTGTGCAAGCTTTGTAGTACAAAGTAGTACTGGGAAGTGCTTTGTGCAAGCTTTGTAGTACACAGTAGTACTGGGAAGTAGTTTGTGCAAGCTTTGTAGTACAAAGTAGTACTGGGAAGTGTTTGTGCAAGCTTTGTAGTACACAGTAGTACTGCAGTAGTACTGGGAAGTAGTTTGTGCAAGCTTTGTAGTACACAGTAGTACTGGGAAGTGCTTTGTGCAAGCTTTGTAGTACAAAGTAGTACTGGGAGTGCTTTGTGCAAGCTTTGTGGTACAAAGTAGTACTGGGAAGTGCTTGGCAAGCTTTGTAGTACAAAGTAGTGCTGGGAAGTAGTTTGTGCAAGCTTTGTAGTACAAAGTAGTACTGGGAAGTGCTTTGTGCAAGCTTTGTAGTACACAGTAGTACTGGGAAGTAGTTTGTGCAAAGCTGTAGTAACACAGTAGTTACTGGGAAGTGCTTTGTGCAAGCTTGGTAGTACACAGTAGTACTGGGAAGTGCTTTGTGCAAGCTTTGTAGTACACAGTAGTACTGGGAAGTGCTTTGTGCAAGCTTTGTAGTACACAGTAGTACTGGGAAGTGGTTTGTGCAAGCTTTGTAGTACACAGTAGTACTGGGAAGTAGTTTGTGCAAGCCATGTAGTACAAAGTAGTACTGGGAAGTAGTTTGTGCAAGCTTTGTAGTGCAAAGAAGTACTGGGAAGTAGTTTGTGCAAGCTTTGTAGTACACAGTAGTACTGGGAAGTAGTTTGTGCAAGCTTTGTAGTACAAAGTAGTACTGGGAAGTAGTTTGTGCAAGCTTTGTAGTACACAGTAGTACTGGGAAGTGGTTTGTGCAAGCTTTGTAGTACAAAGTAGTACTGGGAAGTACTTTGTGCACGCTTTGTAGTACAAAGTAGTACTGGGAAGTGGTTTGTGCAAGCTTTGTAGTACACAGTAGTACTGGGAAGTGCCTTGTGCAAGCTTTGTAGTACACAGTAGTACTGGGAAGTGCTTTGTGCCAGCTTTGTAGTACACAGTAGTACTGGGAAGTGGTTTGTGCAAGCTTTGTAGTACACAGTAGTACTGGGAAGTGCTTTGTGCAAGCTTTGTGGTACACAGTAGTACTGGGAAGTGCTTTGTGCAAGCGTTGTAGTACACAGTAGTACTGGGAAGTGGTTTGTGCAAGCTTTGTAGTACACAGTAGTACTGGGAAGTAGTACTGGGAAGTAGCTCTGCACGTGTTGAACTTCTGTGGTTTCAGAGCGGTTTCAGAATGGTTTCAGACCTCTTCGGGGGGTCTAGCTGACCTTGATGAAAAGAACAATTTACAGACAGAAAAGACTTGAACACAACATACAAGGAAATGCTAGGGAAACAAAAGGAACATGACAAGAACGGAGACATGTCGCATTCATACCTTCGCATTGTTTGCAAGTGCTTTGTGCAAGCGTTGTAGTACACAGTAGTACTGGGAAGTGGTTTGTGCAAGCTTTGTAGTGCAAAGTAGTACTGGGAAGTAGTTTGTGCAAGCTTTGTAGTACACAGTAGTACTGGGAAGTAGTTTGCGCAAGCCATGTGGCAACGTAGTACGGGAAGTGGTTTGTGCAAGTGTGTAGTGGCAAAGTAGTAAATCTGGAAGTTAAACAAGTTTTTTTGTGCAAGCTTTGTAGTACACAGTAGTACTGGGAAGTCGTTTGTGCAAGCCATTATACAAAGTTAGTGTAGCTGGGAAGTAGTTGTCAAGCTTTGTAGTACAAAGTAGTACTGGGAAGTCGTTTGTGCAAGCTTTGTAGTACACAGTAGTACTGGGAAGTAGTTTGTGCAAGCTTTGTAGTACAAAGTAGTACTGGGAAGTGCTTTGTGCAAGCTTTGTATTACAAAGTAGTACTGGGAAGTGTTTTGTGCAAGCTTTGTAGTACAAAGTAGTACTGGGAAGTGCTTTGTGCAAGCTTTGTAGTACAAAGTAGTACTGGGAAGTGCTTTGTGCAAGATTTGTAGTACAAAGTAGTACTGGGAAGTGTTTTGTGCAAGCTTTTGTAGTAGACATCAGTACTGGGAAGTGCTTTGTGCAAGCTTTGTAGTACACAGTAGTACTGGGAAGTGGTTTGTGCAAGCTTTGTAGTACACAGTAGTACTGGGAAGTGCTTCGTGCAAGCTTTGTAGTACACAGTAGTACTGGGAAGTGGTTTGTGCAAGTTTTGTAGTACACAGTAGTACTGGGAAGTAGTACTGGGAAGTAGCTCTGCACGTGTTGAACTTCTGTGGTTTCAGAGCGGTTTCAGAGTGGTTTCAGACCCCTTCGGGGTGTCTAGCTGACCTTGATGAAAAGAACAATTTACAGACAGAAAAGACTTGAACACAACATACAAGGAAATACATTTAAAGAGCAGACAGATAGATAGATAGATAGATAGAGATAAAGCAGCCAACGCGGTCCGGAAGACATGCAGCAGCAGCCCGGAGATGGTGAGCAGGAATGTGTTTCAGAGTGGTTTCAGACCTCTTTTGGGCTTGTTTTTTGGGTACCCCCAGCTTTGGGAGATGAAAAAAGAAAGAGAAAAGGTAGAGAAAGAGAGAGAGAGAGAGACAGAGAGAGGAAGAGGGAAAGAGAGAGAGAGAGAGAGAGGAAGATGGAAGATGGAGACAAACAGAAGGCGAGAGAGAGAGAGAGAGAGACAGAGAGAGGAAGAGGGAGAGGAGAGAGAGAGAGCGTTGTAAATGGTGAGCAGCGGGGTGTTTCAGAGTGGTTTCAAACCTCTTTTTGTCCGTAGGCTACCTCAGCTTTGGAGAAAAAACAGGAAAGAACGGGAAAAGAAAGAAGAGAAGGGAGAAAGAGACAGAGAGAAAGAAGAAGTCTTGAGACGGTGAGCAGGAAGATGTGTCGAACTGGTTTCAGACCTCTTTTGGGGCCGGTTATGGGGCTACCTAGTTCTTAAGACATCCAAAAGAAGGGGCTCAAAACAGATTGTACTTGAAACACATGCGGTCCGGAAAGACGTGCAACGGTCCGGAAAAGCAAGCACCCAAAACGTACTCTAATCGAAGCGATTGCGGTCCGGAAAGATGAGCAGCGGTCCGGAAAAGCGAGCACTCAAAACGCACTCTAATTGTAGACATTGCGGCCCGGAAAGACATGCAGCGGTCCGGAAAAGCAAGCACCCAAACCGTACTCTAATTGTAGCCATTGTGGTCCGGAAAGACCTGCAGCGGTCCGGAAAAGCAAGCACCCAAAAAGTACTCTAATTGTAGATATTGCGGTCCGGAAAGACGTGCAGCGGTCCGGAAAAGCAAGCACCCAAAACGTACTCTAATTGTAGACATTGCGGTCCGGAAAGACGTGCAACGGTCCGGAAAAGCAAGCACCCAAAACGTACTCTAATCGTAGCGACTGCGGTCCGGAAAGATGAGCAGCGGTCCGGAAAAGCGAGCACTCAAAACGCACTCTAATTGTAGACATTGCGGCCCGGAAAGACATGCAGCGGTCCGGAAAAGCAAGCACCCAAACCGTACTCTAATTGTAGCCATTGCGGCCCGGAAAGACATGCAGCGGTCCGGAAAAGCAAGCACCCAAAACGTACTCAAAAGGGTGCTTGCTTTTCCGGACCGCTGCAGGTCTTTCCGGACCACAATGGCTACAATTAGAGTACGTTTTGGGTGCTTGCTTTTCCGGACCGCTGCAGGTCTTTCCGGACCGCGATATCTACAATTAGAGTACGTTTTGGGTGCTTGCTTTTCCAGACCGCTGCATGTCTTTCCGGACCGTAATGTCTACAATTAGAGTACGTTTTGGGTGCTTGCTTTTCCGGACCGCTGCACGTCTTTCCGGACCACAATATCTACAATTAGAGTACTTTTTGGGTGCTTGCTTTTCCGGACCGCTGCAGGTCTTTCCGGACCACAATGGCTACAATTAGAGTACGTTTTGGGTGCTTGCTTTTCCGGACCGCTGCAGGTCTTTCCGGACCGCGATATCTACAATTAGAGTACGTTTTGGGTGCTTGCTTTTCCGGACCGCTGCATGTCTTTCCGGGCCGCAATGTCTACAATTAGAGCACGTTTTGGGTGCTTGCTTTTCCGGACCGCTGCATGTCTTTCCGGGCCGCAATGTCTACAATTAGAGTACGGTTTGGGTGCTTGCTTTTCCGGACCGCTGCTCATCTTTCCGGACCGCAATGTCTACAATTAGAGTGCGTTTTGGGTGCTCGCTTTTCCGGACCGCTGCATGCCTTTCCGGACCGCAATCGCTACGATTAGAGTACGTTTTGGGTGCTTGCTTTTCCGGACCGTTGCACGTCTTTCCGGACCGCATGTGTTTCAACCCTGAGCATCAAAAAGTCTTTAATTAGAGGATCCTCTAATTAGAGGTTTTTTTTAAGGGATAATCCCTTAATTAGAGGTTTTTTTTTCAAAAAAAAGTCTCTAATTAGAGGTTGTTTTTAGAGGCTTTTTTTGTGAATAAGTGGGTTGTGGGACTCTATAAGAGCCATAAGACATGGATGTTAACCTGACATGGAACTTTTGGTACCTCTGTGTATGTTTTTTTCGTTTGGAAGAGTTCGGGAGCGGCAGCACCGCGTCCGCGAAGATTTGCAGCTCAAGTCTGGTGGAAGAGATGAGGAAAGCCTCATCCATGGATGTAGGCTACCTGTCCAAGGCATT